AAGAATCCAAGTTTGTCATTCGTTTTCTTGCAGTGAATAGTGATGGTAAATCAGATTTATTTTTCTACTTTTAACATATCTAGCTTGCATTGTAAGTACTCGCAAAAAGACTACTGATATTAATTCATTTCTCTCTCTTAAGACTAGAGAAATTGAATTTTAAAGGTATTCGATTATGTTTGAAAACATTCATATGGTTACCATCCATTGTCCTTAGGGAAGTTTGTTTTCATATCTCTTGTGACTTTATAACACATTGAAATGCAAGATAATCATTCAACTCATTATTTATTCCTTTTCTTCTCTTACAGCTATTATATAATTATATAATCAATTTTACAATCAATATCACATCATAACACTTACGGATGTCACTGTGAAGTAAATTGAAATGCATTATTCTATTTTACAACACTGAACATGAATATTGAATTATTAAACCTTGATACTGATATTTTTTGTTTATCTACTGCTTAAAAATTTGAATTTTGTTAAAGATAAACCTCAAAGCATGTACCAAATATATATTGTTCAGAGTCATTTACCATTTCCAGTGCTTAACAATAACTTATCCATACTTTTACTATAAATAAAAATTAATGCCAGAATGGAATTTGAAGAAAACGAATGATTCTCAAGCTAAGACGTCAATTGAAACAATACAAATTGTGTAGGAGCAAAGCAAACACGGACCTCTCATCAGAGGTAGAATCATGTGTCATGGAGGAGCAAGCAACCCCTGTCGACCGGTCACACCCGTCGTATGCTCTTTGTCAGGATTAGGTAAACGGAAAAAAATCTGTAAACAATTCATTATGAAAATAATGGCCTAACAATTTGTATGAAAGACATCAGTCAACTTTTGACCTAACGACAGATTGTACTAGCAAACAAGGTCATAGTATCGACCATAGAATTTGCGAAACGTTGACCTCAGCTAAAATTGTAGATACCATTGTATCATCAACTTGTTTCTCAGTAGCCTGTCTTGTTTTAAAAATTGTTCGTGGGAAGGATCGAATCAACTATGAGACATGAACCCCATATGCAGATGATAATGGTTTATTGCTAAATAACGGAAGTTGACAAAGAAACGATGAAGTATTTGATGAAAATCAATACATATGAATTATTTCCAAATTTCCTCTTATCTCAGGTTAAAAAAAAGAAATATATATATAAAAAAAAAAAACCCGCACATTTTAAATGTCACAACACATCGACCTTCACTGTATATATGTGTTACACATTTGTATCTAACACTTTCCGAGAATTAGAAATACACATACATATAGATATGGTTTTAATTTTCATATGATTCATTCCTAGACCGCCCTGACATCCATTAAAACAAGATGTGTTTGTGAAACACTGATACCCCCTTATGGCAACTTATAGCAAAGGTTATACTTTTTCAAATGCAAATCAAATATGTTGGTACCCAAAGTAAGGTCTTGTCTCAAGGAATATACCTGTGAAAGATGAAAGCCCTAGCAACAACCATTGAATAGATCTGAAAAAGGTAAAAGTTTTTCAAAAGTAAGTCAAACATCAATCAAGTTCAAATGGTCAAAATTAATGGTGTCCAAGGAAAGGCCTTCTCACAAGAAATACACATGTAAAATATGAAAGCCGTAGCACCAATCGTTCAAAAATTATGGCCAAGGTTAAAGGTTTTCAAAAGTAGGTCAAACTCAAAGGGTCAAAGTTGTTGGTATCCAAAGGAAGGTCTTGTCACAAGAAATACATATGTGAAGTATGACTAGCACCAACCTTTCAAAAGTTATGGCCAAAGTTAAAGTTTTTCAAAAGTAGGTCAAACTCCAAGGTCAAGGTCAAAGGGTCAAAGATGTTGGTAACCAAAGGAAGGTCTTGTCACAAAGGATTACATATGTGAAGTATGAAAGCACTAGCGCCAACCGTCAAAAGTTATGACCAAGATAAAGTTTTTCAAAAGTACGTCAAACTCCAAGGTAAAGGTCAAAAGGTCAAATATGTTGGTATCCAAAAATGGTCTTGTCACAGGAATTACATATGTGAAGTATGAAAGCCCTAGCACTTACCGTTCAAAAGTTATGTCCAAGGCTAAAGTTGGGCAAAATTTTGAAAAACATGGTCAAACTCCAAGGTCAAAGTTAAAAAGTATGGTACCCAAAGAAAGATTTTGTCACAAGGAATACACATGTGAAATATGAAAGCCATAGCTCCAACTAATAAAAAGTTATGGGCAATGTTAAGGTTTTTGCGGACAAAAAGACAGACGGACGGACAGGGCCAAAACTATATACCCCCGAATCTTCGATACGGGGGCATAAAAAAAACCTAACAAATATCAACACAGCTTTAGCTAGATCCTTTATCGGACGAAAAGGGACTTATATCATGGTTGTTTTAGCCCCCAAAAATTGCAGTACAATAGTATGTCTGAATTTTTAAATATTCTGATAATAGCAGTTTTGAAGCATGAGTGTAACTTATGTATATATACAATTTTTGCTCAATATATGGAATACCTTACATGTACATTTTATTGATTTGATCATTTAACTTTAAGTGTATTTACTGCGTATACAACAACCATTTCCATCCAAACGTTAATTTTTACTTAATCAAAATTAGAGCATTGATTCTGTCTTTCACCTCAGTAAATGTGTCAAATTATTCTATGTATTAAGTTTCATTAAAAAATTTGCTTTGTATAGCTTTGTATATTCAGGGTATGAAAGTACTTGACATATTTTGATACTCTGAGTCTTTTAGGCCAACATTTTTTTTATTTTCTGTGTTACGGGAATTTTTTTCAAAAATTTGAGTCGGGGGGTCGAAATAAAAATAAAAATAAAAGCTCGAAATTTAAGCAGTCGGTCAGAAAAATAAAAACAAAATGAAAAAATGCAATAAAAATTTTTATTTTTAATTAAGGATGGAATTTTTTTTTCTATGACCTTAATTTGTTAGGAAAAAAGTGTTATTTGAAAAACTGATGTGTACAAAACACAAAACTGGTACTGTTAATGTAAAGTGTATCAATGAACTATTTTAAATTTAACTTTCTCTTAGAAATTTGGGGCAGGGGGTACATTTCTAGTATTAACAGCTTGCAGTTTATAACATTAATGCAAATCAAACATACAAATCTGTAGTCTTCTCTCAGTTGTCAAATATCATAGTGTCACCACAGTAAAACTTATAGGACTTAAATGTCACATCCCTCATAAACTTTTCAGAATCTTTTACTTTTCGGTATTCAGCAAATTACAAGATCTGAGGATTTTGGACTAGCTTTGGCAAAGTTATGGCAAAACTACAGTGAGACATTGAATAGATCAGCTAAACTAAATTAATTTACAGAAGTGCACGTGAAACATGATAAAAAGAAAAGTTGCATAATATTTTTCTCATCGCAATTCAAATTGATATATACGTAGGTGGAAAAAAGTACCCCAATCTCTCTACTGAAAACATATTCAAACTTCCTCAATCTGTAGTATATTTGATCTCTTTTTATCCTTATATCTTTCTTTCTAAGCATGCTAAATTTCAACATAATTGTAGAAAATATGTGCATTTTTCCTATAGTTATACACATGTAAAATACACATGACAATGTTCTCTTTACTGCAGATTTCAAAAAAAAAATAATTGTTGAAACTGGTTCTAATCCACAACTTTTGAATGAAAAAAAAAACAGGTCTTGAATTTAAGTAATATTTGTAAGAGCGTATCATTTACAACAATACTTTTCCTTAGTGGTAAAAAAAGTTGTTTTACTAAACAAGAGATACATATACACTAGATCAGCTGTTATTAATAGCTGATGCACATTAATTTGTTAGCACGCAAAATTCCATAAAATGATAAAAAAGGAAATAATGTTTTGTATCAATCAAGCATATATTTTCGTAGGTAATTTTGAATTCCAATATTTGTCATAAAACGAGTGAAAGTTGTGACTCGAATTTCCTCAGTCACGCAACTTTCTACCAGTTCTACAGTGTTCTGTTCTGCCGTTAATTGTAAAAGAAAACATTATTGTCTTAAAATTAAGTTTAAAAAAATCTTCAAGACGTATTTCAATGTATTGAAGCAATTGTCAAAGATAATACGTTTCAAAACAAGCAGTTCACAGAACCTCAATTTCCACGTGGCCCTCTGCATGACATTTGATCAAGATTACTGTTTCGTCTGTTTCATTCAATCTTTCATTAAAAGTTAATCTGAAATTTATACTTTTTCTAATATATGACATTGACATGTTACTTTTTAAAATGACTACTTAAAAATATATGAAACCCTCCGATTCTGACATTTTGGCGCTATGCTGTGCAGTGACTATTCACACTTCGAATACTGTGATTGGATGAATATATTTACCTCAGCCAATGACAAATTGCATTTTGAAAGGCTTGTGAAAAGTTTATTTATATATCTTTTATTTTTTCAGTGACTATCAAATAAACTATCGGCGTGAGAAATAAAAATAAAACGTGAATTAGGGACTTTTATTTTTATTTCATTTTAGCCCAAATTAGGGTCGGCGCTCCCGTAAAACAGGGTATAAAAAAATGTTGGCCTTACATTATTTGTTGAGAACTTGTCATTATTTGCTTAAATTAACACCAAAATTCTGTCTGTCAAAGAATTTGAAACCGTTGGTATTTTGAATGTTTGTTCATATGATGATATATAGAATCGATTTTTTAAAAATAGAATCACCCATGAATAAATTTCTAAAATCAGCATTAGAGAAATTCCTTCAAATCTCTGATATTGCTGAGCCCTTGTTAGTATCAGCAATAACTACTGGTTGCAAAATGACACTCTTTGAAGTTAGTTTCCGGATATATACTGAAAGGAAAAGGAAAAAACACAGGGTAATATGATATTCGATAATAATTTTACTATTTGATCGAAAATTATGAACATTTTATTTTTCTGGGAAGTATTTTGGTTACTTTGCACGTAAATTGGTGTTCAAAATTACTCAACCATAAAAAAGTATGGCGTCATATAGGGTAGTGGTAAAAAACCAAAAGCTCGTACAGATTGGCGATGACAGGTATGTCAACAAATTTTGTAATACAAGTTGATACTCTGGAGGTATACACATTGTTTTTCGCTATTTAAGGTCGATTTGAATTTCTTGCAAAAATGGTACGGCTAACGGAAGTTCAATGTTGTCTGGCAATTGTATTGCCTGAGAACAAACAAAGGCAACAATAGGTTGTTGTAATGTTTGTTGTATATTTTCTACTATAAGACATTTATCAGTCCTCAGAGAAGGAGTAGAAGGGATTTTGACCAAACGCGACAGGAACGCCAGTGCCTATCGAAGCCATGTCATGACGGGGCTTTCCATCCTACCACCTACGTAATCGCGACGTCACTACCGCCAAAACCGCTTTTAATACAGTAGGCAATCACAATCTTCACTTCCACCCCGAAACTGGAAGAAACCGATTGCGCGAGTTTAGTCTGCGAGCTTGTCAACCTTACGAAGGTGTTCGTCTCAAACTCGCACGCGAGCACTGTATGCCTATTTTTTCAACATGTTTACCCCAATCCAATGTAGCCAGAGTATATCAAGACTTTCTAGCAAAAAATACATTAACCTACTCGACCGTATCCGTACTACCTTTGTCTCTAATTGAACATTTGTGGGACTAACTGATCTGTAGAATAAAAAAGGCGTCAGAATACCCCAGCCCCTCTTGACCAGCTAAGGGTTTCTGTCGGAAGGGTTGGATAATATCCCTATGAGAAAGATAAATGCACCGAAGTCCTCCATACACAGGAGTATTAAGTCTGTGACCGATGCGTAAGAGAGGCATAGGAGAAAATGACTACATTTTTATATTCACTTTTGGGGGGGGGGGGTTTACCCTTAAATGAGTTTCAAATTCTCTTGAATTATTCGTCTAAATCCAATGAAACTTTCTTAACTTGTTGATGAAAATTGTGTGTAAATGTTAGATAACAATATTGGAAATGCATTCAAAAAATCATCATTAAATCACATCAAAATTTTACCCTGCGTTTCTTTTTCCTTTCAGTATATATTTTATAACAAACGAGATGTCTTTACCTTTTCCATCGTCAACTTTCCTTATTTATATAGTAATATTCCAATATCCCCTGCATATGGTGTTTATGTCTTCTAACATACTAGATACTAAGGGGCATGCTCTGGGTACTATTGATTTTTAAACCGAGGCAGGCTACTAACAGATAAGTTGCTGTGACAGGGATTTCAACAACCTTGTTTAAAGTCAGTATTTCGTAAATTCTATGGTTGTTTAAATGACCTTGTTAGCAAATATAACCCATCATTGTGTCATATTTTGACTGAATTATTCCATACAAATTGTTTTGCCTTGGTTTTATTCAAAATTTGATTACGTAATGACTACGGAATATTCCGTCTACCTGATCAATACATAGGACTCACTCGGGTGTGACCGTAGGCAGGGAATGCTTATTCCTCCTAGTCACCTGGTCCCACCCCTGGAATTCCTGAGGGGTCTATGCCATGTTCATATATTTGTATTGTCTGTAGGGTTTTTTTTGACCGATCACTGTTTTTTATCTTCACTTTGTTAATTTTCTTTAATATTTTTTTTTATTTGTTGTATTTTTCTATCTTATAAAGATAAAAATGTTTGTATGTTCATTTTATATGAAATTCTTACGGACTTAAAGGTTATGCTTGGCCAAACCTATGGTACCTTGATATCTACATGCAACAAAAACTTACGAACCACTTGAAAAGTTAGGTGGAGATATATTTCTCAAATTACAGCTGTGTAAGAAAATTCAAACAATTTTGAAGAATTATTATGAAGCATTTTTTCTCGGTTAAAAATTTTCGCAACGTATTGTACAAAGGGTCTTAGATGCAATTTTTCCTATTCAAATTAAAAGTTATAAATGACAGAGTTAAAATGCTCCCAGGGAAGCTGCTCTAGCCTCATGTGACCTATTAAGTTGATATTCAACTGGACTGTATCACCTTGTTATTCTTTCTTAAAGTACTGTCTGAATCAGAAAAATAAAGAAATACTTAAGTAAATAACAGAGTTAAAAAGTTCATTGTGAAATGAACTTTATTGGTTACTTGATGAGACTGTGTCAAGACCGAAGGCCTAGGACTTTCCAGTCAACGTTTTAACTTTATTGTGTATACCTTTATTAATATTTGATTGAGGCAAATATTACATAAACAACCTGTAGTATGTCTCAAGCATCAAGCAGTTAGCTACTAAGTTACGACTTCAGACGCTTGATCATATTTGCTCCTCAGTAGGTAACGTCTAAGAAAAAATGTAAATATAAAGAGTAGTTCATACTGGTTCTTGATTTTTTTAATTTCTCGATTTCTAAGTTGTTTCCCATGAATTACATTGTAATTAAAACTGTTTCAGGATTATTGGAATTAAAGTTGTCAGTCAGCGGGCTTTGACCTCAGATATCGATGTGGCTGGGGATCTGGAAAGTATTCATTTTCATCATGGTCACACTCGTCGATAGCCGTTTGCATTTTTCAGGAAAACAATGTAATCATTCGTTGAAATCAGTATAAAAACATTAGCTAAACAATTGGTATGAAACATGTCAGTCAAAATAAAATTGTAAGGTGTCTGCATTTAAGAATTTGAAGCAGTTGGTATTCCAAATGAAGTCAAAATGATGAAACTAATTTAATGTGTCTCAAAATTATTTTAATACTCAGGATATTTTTACGTATTAAATAGCCACTCTATTTGACAAAATCAACTATACTGAAAGGAAAGAGAAACGTAGGGTAAATTTTTGATGTTATTTAATACATTTTTTGAATGCATTTTCCAATATTGTTATCTAACATTTACATATATCTTTCATCAACAAGTTAAAAAATTCATTAGATTTTGACGAATAATTCAAGATAATTTAAAACTCAATTACGGGTACCTCCACAAAAGTGAAATAAAAAATGTAGTCATTTTCTCCTATGCCTCTCTTACGCAACGGTCACAGACTTAATACGGCCTGTGCATGGAGGTCTTCAGTGCATTAATCTTTCTCATATGGATATTATCCAACCCTTGCGACAAGATAGCCCTTAGCTGGTTAAGAGGGGTTAGGATATTCTGACGCGTCTACAGTCCACTTATCCCACAAATGTTCAAATGGAGAAAAGATGGATTGTACGGACACAGTAGAGTAGGTTAATATGATTTTTTGCTAGAAAGTCTTCCTATACTTTGGCTACATTGAGTGGTGGTAAACATGCTGAGAAAAATGGGCATACAGCGCTTGCGTGCGAGTTTGAGCCGAACACCTTCGTAAAGTTGACAAGCTCGTGCAATCAGTTTCTTCCAGTTTTGGGGTGAAAGTGAAGATTGTGATTGCCTACTGTATTAAAAGCAGTTTTTGGCGGTAGTGATGTCGCGATTACGCAGGTGGTAGGATGGAAAGGAACGTCTTGACATGGCCTCGTAAGGCACTGACGTTCCCGTCGCGTTTGGTCAAAATCCCTTCTACTCCTTCTTTGGGGACTGATAAGAGGCGTACGGTAGAAAATCTTCAACAAACATTGAACTTTCGTCAGCTGCGTTACCATTTTTGCAAAAAATTCAAATCGACTTTAAGTAGCGAAAAACAATATGTATACCTCCAGAGTATCAACTTTGATTACAAAATTTGTCGACATACCTGTCATCGCCAATCCGCAATCCGCAATCTGCTTTTGTTTTGTTTTTTTTAAACTATCCCTATGTGACGTCATACCTTTTATGGTTGAGTTATTTTGAACACCAATTTAGGTGCAAAGCTACCAAAATACTTCCCAGAAAAATTTTCATAATTTTTCGGTCAAGTAGTAAAATAATTATCGAATATTTTATATTATCCTGCGTTTCTTTTTCCTTTCAGTATAGTTGTTAGGTGGCCCTTATCTTCTTTAGTCAGCAAAACTTCCAAATATGAAACAGATGTGGCAGATTCTGTGATGTCTTTAATTTCGAGTTTCAAGTTGACGAAACAAAGATATCAACAGTTTCGTTTGAAGTCATCTTTTCGCAAGTTTTTCGGTCGATACAATGACCTTGTCAGCACATACACCCTATCATGGAGTCAAATGCTGACTGTCGTTTTTCATACTAATTGTTGCCATTATTTATACACTGAACTGTCTACGGATTTTTCCGGTTTTTGTTTCCCGATCATGACACGGAGCACACAGCGGATGTGACCGGTCGGCAGGGGATGCTCACTCCTCCATGGCACCTGATCCCACCTCTAAATTTTGAGGTCCGTGTTTCTCTGCTTCAAATTTGTATCGTTTCATTGGACTTTCGAGATTGAATACTGTTCGTTATCTTCATATTTCATTTTATAGTCCAGTCAAATTGTCATAAACCTTAAACAAATTGCAACAGAATTTTTTTCTTTATTTATAATTAGTAAATTGTATTATAATCAACATATAAAAACTCTAGAAAAATATATAAAGGCGAAAGATGTGTTTTTCAGAAATAAATATTTACTGGTCTGATAAAATATGTATTGCAGAAATGTGCTACCATATGCACCAAGGGAGACAATTTTAACCACTGTAAACAAATCACTTTTCTTCTTAAAGAAGCATAATAAAATTTATAATTCATTTTGTATACATGCTTTGGTTTAAATTTCACCAATGCACTGGAGATATAAGATCTGAGAATCTTATATATGTCTAAACTTAACGATATATTGTTGAAACCTTAGTATATACTACATTATCTGCATCACAATTTTTAAGCATGTAGGAACCTTTCTTTCAAATATTAGGTCTATGAATCACAAGAAATTATATATTAATCATGTATTTCTGTAAAAATTCAATCTTCCAATTAATAATAACTCGTGCACATATATAACATGTATAAATTAGTGTTTACTTCTCTTTTATTAGATATTGGAAACGTTAGGGGAAATATTCTATGGAAAGTTGTTAGTGGTATTTTTGCAACATAAAAATATTTTATTACCTACAGTTGTAAAAGTTATATTTTGGTGTATGACCTTGTTTAAAGATTTTTTTTTCTTTAGAATATTGATTATATTAGTGAGATCTACTTTGCTATTTCCAAAAAAAATAGATTAGGCCATCTTGGAAAAATTTTTTGGTTGCCCTCTCCCGACTGACTGACTAAAAATGGCCCGACTCAAAACTTTTTTGTTTTTACATTCCAGGACATCATATTTTTTTTCTTTTTATTCCTCTTATCCTGTCAGCAAATATGTTGAAATTGTCTAGAAAAAAAAGATTTTCTTACCTACCTGCCGATTTAATGATTTTACCCTGAATCAGGAGAGGGCAAACAAACAATACTTTAATGATGGCCTTATTCATATTTTTTTTTGGGGGGGGGGGGGGGGGGGTGCATAATCACTATAATTATGCTTATTATGTATAGTATATTTTATTGTAATTTGTAAACATATTTCTTAAATATTATATTTGTGTCACTTTGATTCAGATTTCGCTTCTAGTTTCTATTTAACATAACCCCGGAGCCAAGTAGGGTCACACGAGGGCCGGGATCTAAATTTACAGGAAGTCTTTGAAATAAGCGGCGTTGTGGATTATTTGTATTTTTTTAAACACATCCTATTATGTAATAGATTTGTGCATTTCAGCTTTTTAAAAACTACACAACATTATCGACTTATTTTCCAAGTAGCATCCCAAATACACCTGCATATATAAGAAAAGTTTTGTAAAAATACTATTTTCCTATCACGAAAAATGAAATTTATCACTTAAAAGAGCATAGAAAATGATCAGATAGGTAATTTAATTGTCATAAAAATGACTCTAGATCTAAGCCTCTATAAGCAGCGCTTGTGAAGATTGGTTGATTGTATGTTGTTTTACGCCCGGTTCAAGAACTTTTCACTTATATAGAAACGTCACCATAATTATATCGGCAAAGTGCTTGAAATTTAGACCTTTACACGGCGCTTAGGGCTATTGAGCAGTGAGGGTTCTTTATCATGCCAACGCCTACATGTACCATGATATGGGGCCTTTAATGGGGTTTTTAAAGTCTCATCCTAAAGACCTGCAACGTTTACTTCAAAGTGCCGAGAGCTTAAATGATGTGATACCCCCCCTCCCCCCCGAAACACACACACAAATTACAAAATAAATCCAAAGGAGATATAAAAACTATCAATGAACATTATATTGAATACAAAAAGAAGCAATTCGAATATATACTATTGAGGTTGACATTTAGGTGAAGAACCAGTTCCAGTTTCAAGATTATCATTCATTTATTTTTTAGATATTCTGTGGCACCTTCAATGGATTTTTACGATATTACTTTTTATTATATCTTTTAATTAACCTTTCAGATAAAAGCAATGGGGAAAACTGACTTTTAAGATTTCGTTCAAGTGATACGTATCCATAGATATGACGTATTTCAGATGAATGTCCTAAGCATGCATTGCTTTAAAGGGAGATTTGTCGGGAAGGGGGGGACTGACCCCCTCCCCCTGAGATTTTCAAGAGTTAAAAGGTTATATGTAAAAGTAACAAAAACATGTCTATGAACCCATTTCCCCAGGACACTTATTAAAATGGCAACAAGTCATGTGCATTATGAACCCATTCCCCGGGGCACTTATTTAAAAGGCAAGAAGTCGTGTGCATTATGAAAAGAGACCCCCCTCCCTCCCTTCTCCTCTGAAAAGGTTTTTAAGTTTGAGGCAATTAATTTTATTTATTTTCATTTCCTTTTACTTATTTGTTTATTTATTTATTTATATTTGCTTGTCAGAAAACTTCCGAGACTTGACATCTGTGATATTTAATATGAACCCTCCCCCTCCACCCCCCACCCCTGATAAAAATTCCTGGGATGAGTGCTTAATTGTCCCCTATATATAATTTTTAAAAAAATTATTTTAACTAATAAAACTTGTCATTCCTACTATGGCTACATATTCTTTATCCCTTCACAAAGCCATACTGAGGAATTGGAATAGTTTTATTTTTCAATTATGTCCGTTGCCATGGAAACAGGAATTCATAACAATTAATGAAATAATTACCAGTTTCAGTGTGCAGGATTCATTTCTGCATGACCTATCAAGAAAATTCAAGATCATATAGATGGCAAAACTATTTTTATGCATATATAGAGTGTCTTTTTAAACAGTGATTTATCGGCATTTTTGAACAAAAATCGGGTTTTTTGAAAACTGAAAAAAGTGATGTTTGGACAAATATATTTTTCTAGAGTTTTGATATATCAAAAGGCACATTATAAATAACAAAATTCTACTGGAATAATTTCTGTTGCAATTTGTTTAAGGTTAGGGTGTTTTAGGACTAAATTGACTGGACTATTAACAAAGTAATTATATTGATGACCAATCAAAAGGTATGCAAATTTACGAGTTCACTTCTATTAGAGAGGCACTTGTCTATGATATATACAAAAGCTAAGTTTTTTAGTTAATCGTGAGGAATGGTTGCATAAAGTGTAGAGAGGTCCAGGAATAAATAGTTACTTTTGATGTTTTGGCCACATCCTCAAGCCTCAAAGGGAGATAGAGACCACTAAATTCACATTTTTGTTCCCTTTACCAGTTTACCAATAAATGTTATTCTTACACTCTTAATGTTTGATGATTACGACTTTGAAAACGGCATTAATTTTCGTTGCTTGTGGCCACACCTCTCAGGCCTAAGGTAGGTAGAGTCCATTGAATTCATAATTGTTCTTCTCTTGGCCTGTAATCTTTATATATCAAATTGGAACTTGATTGAAATTGGTACGGCGGTTCCAGGGAAAAGACGAAAATGTTCAAAAGTTTACGACTTACGGAAGACTGACGACTCACGATACACACAAAAGAGTCACTCACTGAGTGACTGCTTGACAAGACACAAGAAAGGGAATTATAAGCGAAATTCTGGTATTGTCGACATGCTTGTTTCACATCCGAATGTGACATAAGAGCTCTTGTATACAATGAAAGTCAAGGCTTTTTTCTGTAATAAGAACAATCAATAGATATTTATGTTTGCTTATTTTTATTGATGAATTAATTTTTATTGATCATAAGTAAAGTTTCGAGGCTAAAGAACTCACGCTAAAACACTTCATTTAAACATAACTAAAACTCTTCAGATAAAATACTTCCGGTATTTTGTAGTTTATCGATAAAGCAGGTGGATGCTTTTAAAGTAAAAAAAAAAGAATACACAGCATTCAAAGCATAATAAATCTTAATATAACGTAAGCAGTTCAGCACTTGGAAGAGAACAGGAAACGTTATCAAGATGTTCTGGTTCCTTTTTCTGTCTTTTTTGCCATTCACATATAGTGAGTACACTTTTGGTCATAGGTTGGATGCCAAACTCTTGACAAGATTCAGCGACATCGGAAAGCGTTCTTGTTGCAGAAAATGTGTAGAGTATACAAACTGTCAGTCTGTGAATTACAATGTATTTAATTTTTCCTGTGAGCTCAACTATGTGCATAGCCCTGGGTTACAAGCGAAGAATGCGCATGGCGAGTACGTGTATATGGACAAAACCAAATGCAGTTCTTTAGTCTCCCCCTGTGAGGTAAGAACTCAAGTCATTAGCTTATTAACGTGTCTCTTAGTCTCATTAAAAGTCTAAAAAAAAATGCACGAAATTATTTCTTACATTTCAACTCAGTTTTTATTCATCAGTAGAAAAACAAAAAATAAATTAAAAATAAAAAAAAACAAGAGGCCCAAGGGCCTTAACGGTCACCTGAGTATAATACAACAATTTAGAGAATCCATAGAGTATAAAATGAACTGAAAAGTGAAGCTTTGTTGCCCAAAAGCAAGAAAAATAGGGTGATCAGGTTCAACAAAATAATTAGTCTAGTGTTCATTAACAGTTCATAAATTAGGTTCTAATCTGTTCCCCATTTATCACTATCACCATACAGTATATTAACAAACTATCAATGCTTCTGTACTATTTTAATTCCTTGTTGAAATCTCTTACATTGGACTCTCTTGGTCTTTGATGAACATTGAATAAGACAAGTTATTTTTGTCTCATTTTTATTTATCTATTACTTACAAGTCTACCTGATCATTAAAACTATGAAAGTACTTTTTGTATTATGCAATAAAAAATCTTGCAAAATTCTCTTATTCTATTAACCTTTCAAGTACATTATTTACAGTGACTAATTATCAAAAGTAAATGGCAAAGGGGAATAACTCCCCTCAGTAGAATACAAATTAATAGAGCCCTGGCCAGGACCAGAACACTTGACAAAATGGCCCAGATGTTCAAAAATATTTATTAAAACTTTTACTCTTTTTGCCACTGATATGCCCAGGTGCAGAGAAGATTTTCAAAGAAATAATGCAGTTTTTACTACAGATTCACTACATTATCAATAGAGCCCCCCAGCCCCCCCCCCCCCACCTCCCATCCCCACCGAGAAACACCAGAGTCTCTCACCCTGGGACCAGAAGTTTATTCATCATACATGTAAGTAATCACTTTGTTTATCTGATTAACACTAATGAGCAGACAGGATTATTTAACAGAATTAATGCATTTTCACTACATTATCAAGAGCCCCACCCTTACACCAGCACATCTGACCCAGGGGTCATGCAATTCACTACTCTGGAAGAAGTAATCATGCTCATCATAACTACACACTTAGCTTCTTTGCTTTTTAACCAGAAGCAGAAAAGAATATTTTCAGAGAAATTTTGCTTTTTCACTATATAATCAATAGAGCCCCCCCCCCTTTTCACCAGAACCCTTGACCCTGGGGCCATGAAATTCACAATTTTGGAAGGGGCATACTTGCGTATCATAACAATGTACTAATAGTTTGTTTAAATAATACCCAGGCGCAGAGAAGAAGATTTTTAAAGAAATAATTCACCTTCACTATAGGATATATATGGCCCCGCCCTAGCACCAGAACCCCTGTACCTGGGGCCATGAATTTCATAATTTTGGAAGAAGCATCCTTGCTTATCATAACAATGTACTTAATTTGTTTAAATAATACCCAGGAGTAGAGAAGATTTTTAAAGCATTATGATTAATGCATTTTCACTATATAATAAATAGAGCCCCACCCTAACACCAGAACCCCTGATCCAGGGTCCATGAAATTCACAATTTTGGAAGAGGCATCCTTGCTTATCATAACTATGTATTTAATTTGTTTAAATAATACCCAGGAGTAGAGAAGATTTTTAAAGCATTAATGCATTTTCACTATATGATTTATATAGCCCAGCCCTAGCACCAGAACTCTTGACCCTGGGGCCATGAATTTCAAAATTTTGGTAGAGTCACCCTTGCTTATCATAACTATGTATTCAATTTGTTTCAATAATACCCAGGAGTAGAGAAGAAGATTTTCAAAGAAATAATGCACTTTCACTATATGATTTATATAGCCCCGCCCTAACACCAGAACCCCTGCCCCTGGGGCTATGAATTTCACAATTTTGGTAGAGTCACTTTTGCTTATCATAACTATGTATTCAATTTGTTTAAATGATACCCAGGAGTAGAGAAGAAGATTTTCAAAGAAATAATGCACTTTCACTATATGACCTATATAGCCCCGCCCTAGCACCAGAACCCCTGACCCTGGGGCCATGAATTTCACAATTTTGGTAGAGTCACTCTTGCTTATCATAACTATGTATTCAATTTGTTTCAATAATACCCAGGAGTAGAGAAGAAGATTTTCAAAGAAATAATGCACTTTCACTATATGATTTATATAGCCCCGCCCTAACACCAGAACCCCTGACCCTGGGGCCATGAATTTCACAATTTTGGTAAAGTCACTCTTGCTTATCATAAATATGTATTCAATTTTGTTCAATAATACCCAGGGGTAGAGAAGAAGATTTTCAAAGAAATAATGCACTTTCACTATATGATCTATATAGCCCCGCCCTAGCACCAGAACCCCTGACCCTGGGGCCATGAATTTCACAATTTTGGTAGAGAACTCAATGCTTATTACAATCATGTCAACAGTTTGACTGCTTGATGTCCAGGAGTAAAGAAGAAGATTTTTAAAGATTGCATTAATTTTGGTGGTTTTAGCCCCACCCCTCAGGCCCCAGGGGGGCAGGGACCATGAAATTCACAATTTTTGTCCCTCTTCACCCATAGATGCTATATGCCAAAATTGGCTGAAATTGGTTGAGCGGTTTCAGAGAAGAAGCTGAAAATGTTTAAATGTTAACGCACGACGCACGTCGCACGACGGACGACGGACGACGCACGACGACGGACAAAAACGGATAGCAATAGGTCACCTGAGTGACTCAGGTGACCTAAAAAAGGAAAAAAAGAAGGGAAAAAAATTCCCAAGTTATTTTGTTTGTCAGTAAGATAACTCTATCAATCACTAGGCTTTCTCACAAAATCTATTTTAAAAAGACCCAAAGAAAAGACTGAACGGAGACCAAACTGCTATAAAGAAAAAGCTGAAAATGGAAAATAGTGCTGAGTGATTTTTTTTATTTTCACCTTTAATATCAAGGAATTACTTTCGATATGAATTTAAAAAAAATTTTCAACAGTTTTATATAGGGGAAAGTCCCAAAGGAACTTATAAATTCAATTTATAAGTTCCTTTGGGACTTTCCCCTATATAAAACTGTTGAACTAAGAACGTTATTTAAAACGAAATTGACTTGATATTTACACACTACTTCAAAATTATTATTAATACTCTAAATTTTCCTTTAATATTGATATTTTAATATGAATATACTGTAGTGAAGAGTTACTCCTAATTTCCTACAAGTACAGCAAGAGCCTCAGTGAACGTCCCTACACTCCTTATACACTTCGGAATTCACAGGTCATTTTCTAATGAGCTAGTTCTGACTGAGATTTAGTCGGAAATGTTTATGCATGAAATTAACTGTTACATGTAACAAGTACCGACGTATTTGCATGAGGTATAACAGTCAAAAGAAATCATAAAAATCAGTATGCATCAGTGTTCATTAATCAAAATCGACATTATTTCAAATTTTCAGCAGAAGTACTTCCGATTTGACTTCACATTAATTTTACGGATTGCTATTCAAAGAACGAAATTTTCAGTTAGTTCAAAAACTATTTTTGTTTCATTTTTTCTGCATTCCATTTCTGAATTTTATATCGACGACTTCTTTTGAGTTCTGCTTCGATTTAAAAAATAATGGATTGATCGATAATACGGGAGATTGACATTGTTTTATGCATCAGTTGTCAGAATTTATACTCCTCAATAAAATATTTACAGCAGTGAAGGAGAAACTTCAAGAGTACTGTACAGCAGTATATTCGAGAAGTGGTGTAAATCAGATGTGGATATTTAAAAACTCCTAGGAACTTATAGAAAATTTGAAATCATATAATTTTACCAAAATCAATAACATCAAAACGTACGACTTTTCAACACTTTATACAACCATTCCCCACGATAAATTAATGTCCAGGTTTTTAGGCATCATATAGACAGCTGCTTTTTCAATAAAAATTGAAACTCATAAAAAAACTTACCTTGTCATTGGTCATTTGCAATCATTATATATTTTGTTAAAAAAACATTTTGATTGTACACATAAGTACTCTGAAGTTGATGTTAAAAGGATACTTGAGTTTCTGATTGACAAAATCTACATAGTTTTTAGAGATCAGGTCTTCCAACAATCTGTTGGAATTTCCATGAGTAACAATTGCGCAGACCTATTTTATTCATATGAAGCAAATTCAAAACCTTCTACCTGGGAAGAAGAAAACGCTTAATTGCTGTGGCCTTCAACTCGACATTTACATATATAGAGGACGTATTATGTATAGTTACTTCCACTCATATGTCGATTCGATATATCCGCGTGAACTTTGAATAAAAGACACCACAGAGTCTGTCACATATGTTTCATACTTCAATATTTTACTACAAAAAGACGTTAGTGGTAACCTAACAGCAAAACTTTATGATAAACGTGATGACTTCAACTTTTCTATCGTAAACTTCCCTTACTTATGTAGCAATATACCCTTATCACCTGCACATCGTCTCCAAGTTGATTCTACACGCAAGAGCATGCTGTACTTCGATCAATTTTAAAACGAGACAAGCCATTAACCAACAAGTTGATGAAACAAGGATATCAACAGTCTCGTTTGAAGTCATCAATTCGCAAGTTACTAGTATATGGTCGATACAATGACCTTATCAGCGAATACAATCTATCATTAGGTCAAATGCTGACTGACGTTTTTTTATATTATAATATTATAGGCTATTATTTTTACGATGAGATTTCTACGGATTTTTCCGTTTACCCGATCATGACAAGGAGCAAACGGCTGGTGTGACCGGTCGACATGGGATGCTTTCTCCTCCATGATACCTGATCCTGCATTTATTGTTTTTGGAGGTCCGTGTTTGCTCTGCTCCCGATCTATATTGTATAAATGAACTATGAGCTTGAGTACTTGTTCGTTATTTCCATATTTAATGCTAGGGGTTACGCGGCGCAAATTCAAAAGTATCTCGATGTGAACCTCTAGCATGCTGGAGTAATGTAGAGTAAGGTAAAAGACACTTTCCTTTATCCATTCCATGCCACACTATCTAAACTTCTTGCTCTGGCTCAGACGAACACCTATCGCAAAGCCTCTTCATCAGTGGAAGACATTATCCTACTGTATCAATATTATTTCTTTACACTCTTTCTTTTTTCCCCTTAAACTGATATTTTGTAATCAGGAGTTTATTCAAGAGTTTGAACGCTGATACAAGGCACCGCAAAGCGTAGCATCCCGTCGCAAAAGAGCACATCGATCCCAATATAGATTATTACTTGCGTTATTTCCGCTATGCACGCACTCACTCGCTCACTCACACACATACACACATACCAAACACACACACAAGCCCGTTACCATATCCCCTTCAACTTCGTTGCGAGGGGATAAAAGTAGAGACAAACATGCCACATATTGTTTTGTAAATAACTTATCTTAGAAGAGAATGGTGATAAACAGTTTGCCAATGCATTTTCTCTTAAAGTGTAAATGGCTGCGATTGGGGGGGGACTCCATGAAATTGATAAGATAAATTTCGGCAATTCCTTTAAAGAGCATGAGGATGTTGTCATTCCCTGATATTATCCAAGTGTGACGAATAATTTGATTCCAAATGTGTACTACAAAGTGTATCATTTGACAAACGTCGGATAATCACAGATCCATAGCTTTCAGAAGGGTGAAGTTCAACATTTTCTTAAATACAATCTATAATATTCCCTTAGACTTTTAATTTGAATTTTGCTGTGCTAATTTTATAATTGAACTCTAGGGTTCCTATCACACATTTGGGGGAAAATGAAGCTACGCTGAATGTCAAAGATGTGTATTTTGGGGTATAATGCAATAAGTGATGAAGTTATTACGGTAGAACATACTTTAGATATACTAGAACTTCTTTTGTATGTATACATGTTCGTATGATTTAAACGTGTTGTTCAAGTCTATTTTCACATTTCAGAACTTTTGCAATCGTTCGTGTATACCCAACCAAAAATGTGTCCTTACCAACTCCACCGAACCCAGATGTGTCATCACAGGTATTTATAAATAGTAAACGTTAATGCCTCATACGGGGACTCTCAGGGATGCTTTTACAATGAGACACTGTTATTTGTAAAATTTATAATAATATTTAATAGACATCTAATTAAGTTACTAACCATTGGGTAAAAAGTAGGATATTGCTCTATGGGTACCTTGTAGTGATCAGCCTGTCCGATATCCCTTGTGTGGTGCATATTTTCTCTCCCCCTGGCGCTACCTGGCTCATACTTAATGATAATAAGAATATATGAGTAAAATACTTGTCCGGAACAGATTTACACTCTCCCTGGCCCAAACTGCACCATGAGTGCCTGTTGATAAAGGGTGTACAATGACTTTAACCAAGTTTCTAAATTAAAAGTCGTCAAAGTATATATCTGGGTAAATTCCTCGTCCGGAGTATATTTTCTTTCCCTTTTGTCCAATCTGATTCAAACTCTATCCAAAGAGATCTGTAAGTACGTATCGGGTGTACAATGGACTTAAGTCAAGTTCATGTACACATGCGCGGATCTAGAGGGGGGTCGGGGGGACCCCCCCGGAATTTGCAGTTACCAAATGTATATACAAAAACAACTAAAAGTGACCTTGGACCCCCTAGAAAACGCGGACCCCAGTTAAGTTGGTAGGAAAAGTCATAGATATGAAGTGAAGTTGAGCGTCTATACCCCCCCCCCCCCTAGGTTTTTCACATTTGGAAAGTAGTTTACATTTTTTCCTTTATATATATATATATATATATATATATATATATATATATATATATATATATATATATATAGGATCTCCCATGATTTGTAGTTGGATATGATTTTTATCCAACGAGTTGTGTGTTTTTTATCCCCGAGCCTTGGCGAGGGGATAAAAACACACAACGAGTTGGATAAAAGTCATATCCAACTACAAATCATGGGAGATTCCTTTTATCCCATGTTTAATACTTCACAACCAATGTTTTACACTGTTTTATATAGGACTCCACTTTATTTTACTTCATCGCGCTAACGCAATTGTGACGTCACAACTGTGGATTATGAAAAAATTATCCAATGAGTCATATCCACGGGATAAAGGGGTAAACATGGGATAAATATATATATATATATATATATATATATATATATATATATATATATATATATATATATATATATATATATATATATATTTTATTTTTATTTATTTATTTTTTTTTTTTTTTGCTTGTCAAGAATTTTCTGTGGTTGAGTCCTTTTTTTGACTGGTGTGGACCCTCCCCCCCTCCCTGGAAAATTTTTCCTGGATCCGCTCCTGTGTACACGTATTAAAATGGACCTCTGTGTAAAATTCGTATCCGGTACATACATCCGCTCCCTCCTATCTGGCCCATGCTTCACCCATAGAGTGTCTGTGGTAAAGATGCAGAGAACTTGGACAATTAAGTTTATTAATCAAAGCTCAAGGTCTGAATATATCTCTGTGTAAAATCCTTGTCCAGGGAATTTTTTCTCTCCCCTCAAACCTATCTGGCACAAATTTCACAAAATTCCAATGATCCAAGCGTATGCAGTGACTTAATCAAAGTTTCTAGGTCAGGGGTCAAGGTCATAGTATATCTCTGATTGAAGTCCTTGTCTTAAGGATGTTTACACTTGCCTTGAATTCAGCTGGCTCATACTTTACCCAAAGAGTGCTCGTGGATTTAGATGTCAGGCAATGGTCTCTACCCTTTGTTTAATCTGGATCAAACTTCAACCACAGAATACTTGTGAGTAAAGTGTGGTCAATGACCTTGAGCTAAATTTCTAATCAATATTTAAAGGGGGAGGAAATAAGCACCGCCCTCAATTTTACCTGGTCTGAGAACCCCTGTCAATCAGATGAAATTAAGCCTGAGATTGGATACTGAAAATTGATTGACATTTTGTTACCTGCCGTTGTGTATATCTTGTATAGCTTGGCTGGGGATCGTACCGATCATTGAATTAACATTCAGTCTTTGATGCCTACCGCATATAATTTATAACATCGTGATAAAGAAGCAGCCAGATCTAATATTAATTTTTTTTAACTTTATGATAAAGTAATTAGCCATATATAATTTATATTTAATCAGTCTGTCAAATAATTAAATAAATGAAAAAGAAAATCAGTCATATATCTATTTAAATTGTAATTAAGAAAGGGGGGGGGGTCATTTCACTATACATTTAATCTATAATGCAGTATAGATTATCCAAATTTACACGTACATCGGAAGCATCGTGTAATTTAATAAAATAATAATTCCTTTTTTATTATTATGAGATAGACATATTGTCCAAGTTAAAAATTTTAAGACGTGTAATATTTCTTCGAGACATATTAATGAAACTGTAAAATAAGCAGTTTTAAAGAGAACTAAGCATTATTATAATAGCTGTCATTGCATATACAAGTTAACGTTATGTTTAGAATTATGTATCCCGAGGAAAAAAGTAGGATAAAGTTATTATATTCCCGTTTCATCTACCTGTCAGGGAAACAATACGCGGATGCCTTGACCATTTTTACGGAACATGCATGCGTCATGGGTTAATCACATAGGAATTATACAAAAAATATTTATCTAATTTATTATATATTTTCTACAAAATTTAGCCTTCAAACAGAATTTCTAAGTTTTAGAGACTTAATTATTTAGGACTGCGCTTTTTTCTACTTTCGTTTTGTGAATGACTATTTCCCTAGGTGTCGCCAGCTTACAACCAAAGATTTGAAATTTATTAACGCACAAAATTAAACTAAAATTGTCTCCTTTATTCAAACATATTTTTAAAAAAAGAACTGAACTAAAGGAATCAGTCTACATAAAAAAATTAGCATGTTTTATTTCATAAATTTGACGATCAACATTTCGATTGACCAACACGCGAAGTTAAACTATATCTTAGGTAATATACAGGTAACATCCTGTGTATATAGGTAGGTATACACAAGTCAGCTTGGTTCCCTCGGGGCTTCACAGCCGTTTCAATTAAGCTCCACCCCACACCAAACTTACCTGAGGAAAACCGACCGGTTGAAAACCTCGGCCTTTAAAGCAGAATTTTGTGTAAAATTGTCAACACTGAGGAAAAAATTATTTGAGTACTATTGGGTCTTCTACAATCCTTTATATGCACCTTTAATCGTAATATCCTTTACTTTACTTAAAGCGGCGGCTGCCATCTCAATGATATGATTTTATTAGTCCCCTACCGGTGAAACCGGAGGGGACTATAGGTTTCCTCTGAGTCTGTCCGTCCGTCTGTCTGTCTGTCTGTCCCTCTGTCTGTCTGTCAGTCTGTCCCACTTGGTTTTCCGCACATTTTTCCTAAACGCTTGCAGATATTGAGCTGATTTTTGGTATGTGAGTGTATCTTGATGAGTTACAGATCAAGTTTGCATATCGTTCCGCTTCATTAAGTTTTGACGGAATTACGGCCATTTCAATTTTTACGGGTTTTTCGCAATTTTCTTCCAAACGCTTGTAGATATTGAGCTGATTTTTGGGATGTGGCTTTACCTTGATTAGTTATAGATCGAGTTTGCATTTCGTCCCGCTTCATTAATTTTTGACGGAATTATGGCATTTTCAATTCTTAACGGGAACCAGATTACACTTGCCGGTAGGGGACTAGTATTGCTAATGCAATCCTCTCAGAATGCTTGTTAGTCCCCTACCGGTGAAACCGGGGGGGACTATAGGTTTCCTCTGAGTCTGTCCGTCCGTCTGTCCGTCCGTCTGTCTGTCTGTCTGTCCGTCTGTCTGTCTGTCAGTCTGTCCCACTTGGTTTTCCGCACTTTTCTTCTAAACGCTTGCAGATATTGAGCTGATTTTTGGTATGTGAGTGTATCTTGATGAGTTACAGATCAAGTTTGCATTTCGTTCCGCTTCATTGATTTTTGACGGAATTACGACCTTCTCAATTTTTCAGGGTTTTCCGCACTTTTTTTCTAAACACTTGCAGATATTGAGCTGATTTTTGGTATGTGACTTTACCTTGATGTGTTATAGATCAAGTTTGCATTTCATTCCGCTTCATTGATTTTTGACGGAATTATGGCATTTTCAATTTTTAACGGGAACCAGATTACACTTGCCGGTAGGGGACTAGTATTGCTAATGCAATACTCTCAGAATGCTTGTTTTCAATGCTAATGATGTTGAAGCTTGTTACTTCTTGTGGTCATGAACAACGTTTATGTGTATATAAAAGATTAAACATTTGCACTGCTATCACTAAAAAAGTAATGGCCAAGAGACGACTTAATCCAACAACTATCATACTATGATAGATCTCTTACGAGGCCCAATCTAGTTCAGTTGGAAATTACGAATAATTTTGAATTTTTGATACAATGTATGTATTTGTATATACTATGCTAAGAAAAATTAGGTTGACATTTTGTTAGGCCTATCTTGCCTTGACTGTAGTGGAATGGGGGCAATTTCAAAATGTGGACAATTTTTCGTGGTTTTACACACAATTATATGCGAAAACTACATTAAAAAACAATGGAATTGATAAATAAAAAGAAACCAAATGGTGAAATCTTTTGCTTTTCACATATATTATGCAATATCCATTCCTTATTTAAAAAATGAAAAGAAGGGAGGGGGTAGTATTTATTGTAGTGAAAAGGGGGCACACCAAAACACAAAAATAGGACTTTGAATTATATCTAAGATACTTTAAGTCGCAGGATGTTTACATAATATCAAGAAATGATTGTTGTATCGTATATGATCTCAAAATTAAATGCTCCGTACATTATGAAAGAATTTTCTCTCCGATCGTTATTTTATCTAACACAAAATGTTGTTTTACGTGGAAAAAGAAGAGCGGGGGGGGGGGGGGGTTAAAAAGGCAATAAAATTACAATTATGATTTTATGTAGTTTTCCGTCCCGTTCGAGGATTTTTTTAATCATATAGAGACGTCACCATGTACCGGTGAAGGGCATCAAAGTGCAAAAGCGCATTTGATAG